TACACTTGAGAGGAGAAAGCAAACTGTACAAAAGTGAACAATGATGTAAAATATATATAAATGAATTACATTTAAAAAACCCTAAAAACAAACAAACAAAAAGAATTGTTAAAGCGGTGCATTTTGTTATATATATTTTATCAAAATACAAAAAAGTAATTAGGACTTGGTTTTGCACTGAAATATAAAAGTTAAAGCTACAGGGCCTCGGGCCTCCCCGGTGGCGCAGTGGTTGAACGCTGGGTTGCGAAGCTGCCCGCAGCCTCTGCAGCGCCGGTTCGATCCCCGGCTGCTCCCCGGCCACCGGAGGAGGGTCCCACATGGCGGCAGACCTCTCCTGCCGTGCCCGCTGCTCCCCTCAGCAGTGTACTTCGGTCCTTCTGCCTGCTCTACTCCCCGCTCTGGCTCTGGTGAATTCTCTCACCCTCCCGCGCTTCTGACTGTACCCAGTGCATGTATAAACAAAACAAACAAATAAATAAATAAATAAAATAAAAAAAAAAAAAAAAGCTACAGGGCCTCCCTGGTGGTGGAGGGGTTGAAGTCTCAGCACTATCTAGCTATGGGCAGCCACTGCAGCATGAGTTTGATCCCCTGGCAAGGGAGCTGACCCACATTGTGCAGCAGACCTCTCCTGTCTCACCCACTTCTCCCCTCAGCAGTGTATTTCAATAGATCTGCTTGTTCTGCTCCCCACTCTGTCTCTGGTGAATCCTCTCACCCCCCACATCTCTGGCCCACATCCCTGTTCTTCAACGAAGAAATATATCTTGTAAAAAAAGTTAAAGCTGCAAAACAATAGGGCCTCCTTGGTGGCGCAAGCGGTTGAGTGCAATGCTGTGAAGCTGTCTGCAGCCTCTGCAGTGCAGACTCGATCCTGGCTGGCCAGGGAGAAACCCACATGGCATGGCAGACCTCTCCTGTCTCACCCACTGCTCCCCTCAACAGTATTTTCTGTCTGACTGTTCTGTTCCCCGCTTTGTCTCTGGTGAATCCTTTCACCCACACATCTGGCCTGTACCCTGGTTTTTGTATGCATGAATAAATAAATCTTAAAAAAAAAAAAAAAAAGCTGGGCCTCCCCGGTGGCGCAGCGGTTGAGCGCTGGGCTGCAAGGCTGCCCGCAGCCTCTGCAGCGCTGGTTCGTTCCCCGGCCGCCAGCAAGGGTCCCACAAAAAAAAAAAAAAGCTACAAAACAATAGTTTGAGATCTATCTTAGCAGGATGACTTAACAGCAATCAAATAAACCTTATCGTGTTCAATAGCATTGTAAATCTTACTCTTTGTTTTCACTAAAGATCAACATAAGTAACTAATTCAATGATTCTGTCAAGATCACCTATCGGATGGAACAGCATAAAATGTCAGGGTGCATCATAGCAAGAACAGCTTATCTCAAGGGACATCCAATAATATTTTATCTTACTCCTTAATTATCTTCAAAATAAACCAAAGCACTTTCCACCAGAAAAAAATCTTAAAATATTTATTGGAAAATGGGTTCAAATTGTCTTCTTAAATTTACAAATAGGGACCAGTGAGCCTTTTGAAGGAAATATTAAACATTTCTTCATCTCATATTGGGATCTTTTTCAGCAATATTTTAAAAATAATTAAGTTGGCTTTTTACAGTGCCCTAGATTCTGGGCCAGTTTGGTTATATGAAAAGATGAAGCTCAGAAATGATATAGGCACCAACGTTCTTTGATTAGTCAGTGTTTTTTGGTATTTTCTTGGTGAGAAGCTTCACAGCAATCAAATCAAATCAAATCAACTTTATAGGATTTATTTATAAAAAGGGAATTTCCCAGGATGGTATCCTCTCCCCCAGGCTCAAGGATCTTATAAACAAAAAAGTCAATAGGGAAATTAAATAATCTCTTAATAAAACTCAAACTCATTCTCATCAAATGTTATAGGCAACAGTTCACTCCCAATTTTGTCATCATTGGACTTTGAACTAGCTTTTCCCTGTGCTTGAACTATTCTCATCTTTCAGATTTTGCTCAAATGTCACCTGTTCACATAGGCCAGCCTGACTTTCCCCAAACCCCTGGCTAACAGGCTCCATCATCTCCCCATCTGCCCCTCTCTATAAGGTCACTCAGCCATTTCCGGTGACACTTTAACACTCTCTGAAGTTACTTGGTGTGTGTGTTGACTTGCTACTCTTTGCCTCCACCAGCCTGGAGCCATCTGATTTCTGCTGCATTTTCTCCTTCCAGCAGGCTGACAAGCTCCCAGTAGGCAGGCTTGCCTTCTACTGATCTCTGCCTTGCAATTCCATGAGCAAGCAGATCAGAGCCTCGCCCCAGGGAAGCGTAGACATCCTGCTTTGCTCTGCTCTGCCTTTTATGGGTGCTGCTTACTTATTGGATGAGGGTAGAAGGTTAGATAACAAAGAGGTAGCAGCCTAGAAGATGTTTTGAAAGACCCATTTGGTCCTTAAGCCTAACTCTAACCCATCCTAGTTCCACCAGAGTCCCTTGAAGGAGGTTGATAAGTGGTGCCTTATTTCCCACTTGGGCATGTTGCTTTCTTGGGCACAACATGAGCAGAAGGACTGATTGAATCAAAGAAGACATAGCTATTTCTGTGTTTTCTCATCCTGATGCTACCCTAGTACTTTAAAATGGCACATAGCTTTGCAACTTATAAGCATGAAGTTGGCCTCTCTCTCCTACTTTGTCCTCTGGTAATCAGCCTCATGCACGGCATTAGCTCTGAATCCATAGGGAGCACAGTGAACCACGCAAATGAAATTCAAGCCTACTTGTTTGTCTTTCCTTTTGGAAATGGAAAAATCAAGTAACATCACTGGTCTCTTGATCCTTGTTATTAACACTTGATAAAGCTAAAAAGGCAAACCACAGCCATGGAAAAAAATTTCTTAAGACCATTTTCTAACTAGATAATTTCAGGGTTCCTATATAATATTTAGTAGACATAGTAGGCATGCACCTCTAAATTAATAGCGAGGGCCCCCCTCGTGGCCTAGGGGTTAAGTCTCAGCAGTTATTACCGCTAAGGGCTTAATTCAATCCCCAGTCAGGGACCTAACCCACATATAGTGTAGCAGACCCTTCCTGTCTTGCCCACTGCTCCCCTCAGCAGTGTATTTCAGTCAATCCCCCCGTTCTGCTCTCCACTCTGTCTCTGGTGAATCCTCTCATCCTCTCATACCTCTGACCTACACCCTAGTTCTATACAAAATAAATAAAATCTTAAAAAATATAAATTAATAGTGAATATCTGAAAAAGAACATCCTGATCAGTCAGATATTTTGTTTTTAAAAGGATCCGTACAGGGCCTCCCTGGTGGTGCAGTGGTTGAGCACTGGGTTGCGAAGCTGCCCGCAGCATCTGCAGCGCCCATTCAATCCCCGGCTGCTCCCTGGCCACCGGAGGAGGGTCCCACATGGCACGCAGACCTCTCCTGCCGCCTGCTGCTCCCCTGAGCAGTGTACTTCAGTCTGCCTGCTCTGCTCCTCGCTCTGGCTCTGGTGAATTCTCTCACCCTCCCGCGTTTCTGACTATACCCAGTGCTTGTATAAACAAATAAAAGTAAATCTTAAAAAAAAAAAAAAAAAAGGATCCATACAAAGATTAAAAAACTGACTACAGCAGGCTTCCAGCTGGCAGACATCTCCTTCTCCCCTTCTTGAGTAAAACAGAACTCTTTAAGAAGGGTCTTGGCCACACAAGATCACTAACGACATTGGCCAGTCTCCTAACTAGGTTTGTGCATGTAAATGCCAATGACAAGCAACAGCCAGTGCAGTGGGCACAGCTTCTCCTCCCTTCTTCTTTCCCTGAGCTGGGATTTGGAAGCGGGGGTGAGCCATCCAGAGGCCTGAGGCTGAGTAACACTGGGCGTGAGAAGAGAAGGACAGAAGCAAGTTGTAAGAGACAGCGTCCCTACCTTCGGATCCATGGATCACTAGATCACTTATGCCTAAATTGTTGCCTGAGAAAGCAAACAGGCCTGTTTTGTTTAATCCACTGTTTTTCAGAATTTCTGTTTCAACATTTGAACACAATTTCTTTTCTTTGAAGATTTAGATGCTGCTTCATGGTTTTTTCAAAGTGGCTTTAGAATGGCAAACAATAAAATTTGGCATTGAAAAAGACCTTCAGGTCCCCCTAGTCCCTCACTTTATGGAGGAGAATATTGAAGACAGAGTGAAGAAGTAGACTCTGGATACTCAGTGGGAGCTGGTAGTATGACTAGGGTTCGGGTCCCCTGAATTTCAGTTCATTGTTCTTTTCCCTTGTGGTGCAATGAGCAGAACTCCCTGGAAATGACTCCGCAGGCTCCCTGGCCAATTTATAAGCAAGGACCTGGGGCCTTTTCCCCAGACAACCTGTAAACAGCTGTCACCCTCGTTTACTGACGAGGCTGCTCCTAGATCCACTGTGGGAAGGAGGTGACATAGGGAGACATAGGTCCCATTCTGGCCTGCCTCTCTGTGGGGTGATGGGGGAATCAGGAGGTCCATGTTCTCTTTTCTGACCATGAAATTTTCCCTAATAAGCCTGATTCTGTTTCCTCTGACCTGACATTTGTCTGAAGCATGGCACTTAGAAACCCAAAAGGCCCCTATTTGCATGACTTCACACTGTAATTCTGAGTATTGATTATCAGTCACAAGCAATTTGATAATGTAAAACATTTTCTATAACAAGTAGCAATAAGTGTAACTTCAGCTGTCAAGGGAACTGCACAGGCAACAAATCAATCATTTAATCTCAGCAATCTCTGTCCACCAGGAGCCCAACCTCAGCTCCCTTTGCACAAAGTGCACTGGCACAGCTGTGATGGAGCAAGAGCCCCAGGTGACCGAAAGTGGATGCTATTTGCATACAAACTCCTGGGGCTTACCCTTGCAATTCTATTTTTTTTTAAAGGCCCTACATTGCAATTTACTTAAGAAACTAGGAGTTTATATTTGAATTGTGCATAATCCTGTATTGTGTACACAAATATCACACTTCCTTACCATCCTCATTTTCATCAAACACTGGTGGTTTGCTTGAGGCGTTGGCTCCCATGGTCGAGTCTGCTCACACCTGGGTCTGTAAGTCACATTATCTGGGCAGGGAAATTCATCTTCTCTTTAAAAAAAAGGCCCCCAAACCTCAGCTGGATACCTGGAAAGAAAAAGAAATGGTATCCTAATAACATGGTATATTCTCGGCACCCAGAATATAGACAGTAGCCAAAATAGTAACATAAACTGGATTGAAACGAAGAATTTTTGTGCTTAAAAATGACAATTTCAGAAAAAACAGAACACCAAACCTCTGGAAGAATCTATTACCTGGCCTCATCAATAGTAGATCTGGACTTATAAAGAAGGAAAGCAACTCCTTTCTAAGTATAAAGACAAGTTTAAATGGGACCTTATTTTAAGAACAATCAAATAAAATTTTATTATCACTAAATTTTTGAGAAAATATGTTAATTTTACATTTTTAATATGATATGAACAGCTTTAACTTTTTTTAGCTATAAAGATGCACACCCTAGCTCTTCCTCCTATCCTAGAACGCACTACAAGGAATGAGGTCTGTGTATGACCTTTATCTTATCAGCAAGCTGCTGAATTTCACTGAAGATATTTCCTTTCTTCTGAACCTGAAATTGAAAATGATCCTTTCCTCAAAAGTGAATTAAAAATATATAAGTAGTATTTTTCAAAGGCAAATTAAATGCGATATAATAAGTCCCCATTAATTGTTAGCCACTCAGAAGTTCAAATTAATAGTTGCATGTGAGAGTAACATTACTCTGAGAAGATGTATATGGATAGCTTTATTTTAAAACATAATCCTAAAGAATTTTACTTTTCCCTGAAACTGGCAAGGAGAGCTAGCTTCTGGTTGTAAAACTGATAATAATGGCTTTGGCCAGCTACTTAACCTCTTACACTTAAAATAGGGGAAATATGAGTGCTCTTTCAGGAATCATAGCTCAAAAACCTAAGAGAGGGCCTCTCCTGGTGGCGCAGCGGTTGAGCGCTGGGCTGCGAAGCTGCCCGCAGCCTCTGCAGCTCCAGTTCGATCCCCAGCGCCGGCGAGGGTCCCACATGGTGTGACAGACCTCTCCTGCTGCCCGCTGCTCCCCTCAGCGGTGTATTTCATCAGTCTGCCTAGTCTGTTCCCTGCTCTGGCTCTGGTGAATTCTCTCACCCTCCCACGCTTCTGACTGTACTCAGTGCTTGTATAAATAAATAAATAAACAAACAAACAAATAAATAAATAAATAAATCTTTAAAAAAAAAAAAAAGCCTAAGAGAGCCAGGTAGAAATGCAAAGAAGTGAGCTAGACCAGGCAGGAGATATCCATGCTTATGAGGACACTGGTGACTTGTGGAAGCCAGCTTCCATCCTAAGGTCACTGCTTCTTCCTGCTCAGCTCCACCCTCCCTTGGGTGGGGCAGGGAACCTCCCCCTTTCCTGGGGACCACCCTGTTGCACTTCCACCAAAGGTCACTGCTGCCACCAAACGTTACAGCTTCTACGTCTGAACACTTGTTGCCAGGGCCCCAGTGGGTGCTGAGGACAGATCTGCAGACTGACCTAAAAGGGTTATAATCCAGATTTTATACAATTCTGGATCGGTCAGTGAATTTCAGAAATAACAGAACACCAAACTTCTGCTTCTAACCTATGGTTACAAATCGATATAACCATAGGATCTGTAACCCTATGACCTGAGAAAATTTCATGTATCATACAAATATGGCTTGTGGGATATAGTTAATAAGATAATGCATGGCACACTGTTATGCCAGTACATCATTCACAAAGAATGAGTTAACTATTGTTATTGTTCACATAGAAGTATATCATTTTCATGTATTCTTTTTTTTTTAAATTGAAAACCAGCTGATTAGATTTCCTCTTGGACTTTTTACACATTGAAGGAAGTACAGATTAGAGCAGAATTAAAAAAAAAAAAAAAAGTGTCCCCAGCTAACCTGAGCTAAGGATGAGTTATTGCAAAAGAAGTTGAGAAGTTCGTAAGCAAGTCTAGAAGAAAAGCTCATTTTCCTATTAGGGTGATGTAAGTAAAGCCTTCATTTGGAAGGCAGACTCATTAAGGAAATGCTACTTTTCATACTAAAAGCCAACTGCTGGCAAAGTGCCTCCTGGACTTTTAAAAGAATCATTAAATGGAGAGCCCTGGAGTCAGCAGTTAGGAAGCAACCATAAATGGTAGGGGAGGGGCAGGGGCAATAGGAGGGGCAGGGGTGACAGGTGGCTGGGGGAAGCTCAGGGGCATTACTGAGACCCAGGAGCCAGAAAGAACTCAACTGTCTCTCTCCAGGCTAAAAAACAAAGGGCTTTTAATTCCAGCAGAAAAGGGGGCTTGGAAGCAGCAAGTGGGGTGTCTGAGAACTTCACTGTGGGTTGGGGAGAAAGCAAATGGGGACTATTGAATTTTGAGTCCAGAATAACGAGGCATATGCAGCACAGGTGACATTAGAGACTTGTTTGCAAGAGAACACTGAGACCAAGGAAGGATCGTGGTGGCTACATCCTCTTCTATGTTGTGTGAAAAGCTCAGTACACTGAGTTCCAGCACCACACCCTGATCCTGTCATTCTTATATGGTTCTTCGCACCTCAGTTTTGTCTCAAGTAGCCCATTGTCTTCTTGCAACATCAGATGTACCAAACACTGACCTGGCAAGTTGTCAAATCAGAGAGAGAGGACTATTATCACAATTTGCCACGTTTTAGAATTCCATTCTGATGCCAGACAATTTTGTTCACTAAAGATCAAGTGATTGTGGGGGGTGGGGGGATAAAATATGCAAACAGGAAAGAAGCAGGTGGAAGGAACTTCTGCCTTGTGAGTTCTCCATTGCACCTAACACACCCAATCCAGTTTAGAATTGTCTTCCTCCCCACGTGGAAAACCGAGTTAGATAACCTTCCTCATATCCAGAAAGAAATCAACCTTTCTCTGGCAGGAGAATGGAAATACATCTTTTTCATTTCACTGAATAGGGCTGGGAAGACCTATAGTGTTATAGAGCAACCCCGATATTAAACGGGTTCCTGGCTGTGGGTCCTCACCCGCGCGCTTTAAAGGGACTTATGAATACTCTACTACAGACACACGCAAAAAGGGTTAATAAAAGGTTTATTTACAAGAGAAAAAGAAATAAGGAAAATGTACAACTCAGGGAGAAAATAGGGAAATAAAGTCTTTAATGCGTCCTACCCGATCCGACGACCTGGAAACCCAAAGTCACTCTCAGAGCTAGACGGATGCCGCGAGCTGGCCGAGGGCCCCAAAATGGAGAGAGCCCCAAAGCCCACATGTCTGCCTTTTGTATCCACCTGGCTGCTTAACCCCACCCTCAGGTCCCAGCCACCTTCCCTTTAGTGGTGATGGGATTTGGAGTTCCCAGTGTCTTTGGCTTTGACCTGGGGTGGGGGTGGAGTCCACAAAGCCTGTATGGAATTTGCTTTGGGGCAGCCTTTTCCCCCTAACACTGGGGTGGGGGTGGAGTCCACAAAGCCTGTATGGAATTAGCTTTGGGACAGCCTTTTTCCCCTAACAATAGGACCCTCTTGGACCTGACCCCATGACTCCACACCCTTCCTGACCTCCAGCACTAAGCCTGCAGTGTTACATAATCATCCTACCCAGATGTCAATAGGACAGCCAGCACCCATGGCAATGAAACTCCTTAACACAGAAAATACCAGAGAGAGCAATCTGTATTACAGTAACAGTATGTTTTCACAGTCTCTCCTGGCCTGGCCAATGATCACATTTGTAACCGCAGACTCTACTCTGATAACTGGATTTTGCCTTTGTCCTATACTTTTCTGGGACTATCAACAGGTGACTTTCTCCAAGATGCTAAGTTTCCTTGGGCAAAGGGTGTCATCGGCAGGAACTGGAGCACACAGAGAGTGAGGCAAGAAAGTTGCAACTTTTCCTAGAACTGTATCAGGTTCATTGCATGTAAATGTGTAGACACAACTAATTTGGTTGTTTGCCTTTGAAAATCATAATTTCTTAAGAAATATTAGAAACAGGGAAGAAGGAAAATATAAAAAAATTCAAGTTAACACCACTTAATAACAATTCTTTCTAGTTCATCAACTTTGCTCCATCATTTCTATATACTGAAACTTACAGGTAAGCATTATTTCCAACTTAATCCTCATCCCAAATTAATTCCCCTTCTATTCTTCCCCAGGAGAGCCACGATCAAGACCGTGGCATCTGTTTTACAGTCTACTTTGCTATGATATTACAACACACTGTGTGTTTTCAAATAAGTCCTCTAAATGGCATCGTAGAGTAGGTATATTTTATATGTTATGGTAATCATCTGCCATTACCCTCTGCAGTCAGGCATGCGAGTCTCCACAGCTCCAACTTGTGCTTTTTAAGAGCTGCATAGCAGTCCTTGTGTGAATACGCATTTTATTTACCTGTACAAAAATATTCAATTTCTTCAACTCTTCATATCTTGGGGAGATGAAGTCAACTATCAAAGGCAGTTTTGCGTGTTTAAAAGCTAGATAAGAGAAACAAGTGAAAACAGCTCACAACCTCCTCTATTCTGCAAATATTTATTGAACCCTGTCTTCTTCAGGACCCGAGTCAGGGAGAGGCTGGGGGTTGAGTGGGGCTCCAACAACCACAGGAAACTGAATTAGTCCCAGGCTGTTTGGTTGTGCTGGGTAATCTGGTTTGTCCGTCTTTGTCTTATTTCTCTGCCCTTGTAACTTTCTAGCTTCCCAACAGTGCCCTTAGTATGCGCTTTCTGGAAATGAAAAAGAAAAAAACAAAACGGGACCATCACTCACCTTTGCGCCTTTCAAGAAGCTCAGATCGGTGCTTCCATCCCGGGGAGCAGGGGCTGATAAAGCGACTCAGAGAACCGGGAGGGAGCAGTGCCACGCTCCCACCTGCCTGGCGCACGGGGCTGCCAGCGCAGCGCCGCACGCGGCTGGGCCGGCTGGGCGGGCGGGCGAGCACCTGCGGCTGCCGTGGGGTCTGAGCGCCGCCCGAGCGCGCAGCTCCTGCGGGAGGGGCGGCTCCCGGGCCTGGGGGGAAGCAGCTGGCCGGCTGGCGTGCCCGATCGGCGCCCTCTCCAGACACTGCCCGGCTGTCGCCCGAGGTCGGTGCGTCGCCCGGGGAGCCAGGCGGGAGGAGAGGGCTGCGGGCGCGGCTTGCAGCCAGAGACACGGATCCCGCGGCGCCTGGGCACCGTCTGGAGCCTCCGGGAAGGGCAGTGCGCCCCAACTTCCCCGGACCAAAGCCCGCCTCCCCTGAAATGACCTCTTCCCCCTAAATACACAGCAGTGTCCAAAGGAAGGTGGGCATGGAAAGACAAACCTGTAGATCTGAGATGGGAGAGAGGCAGGATTTCCTCTCAGATTGTCCTTGGCTATTGGGGGGAAATCCCGGGGGAGGATGAGCATTTTCTAGATCCCGACAAGAAGGATCTTTATGGTTTAGCAGATCTCTTCGTTTCACTGCTGGGGGAAAATGAGGTACAGAGAAGAAAAATATTTGCCCGGTGTAATAGAATAATGTACAGAGAGAACATTTTCTAGACCCGGGGTCCCTCACCCCCACCTCCATTTCCCCACACATTTTGTCACCGCCAACCTCTCAGCATAAGTGTGGACAGGAAACCGAGGCACACAGACGAAAGCAATCCCATTGGAAGATTCTGAGTTCTCTTCCATGGTAACTGGCTGGAAAATGATCACAATTGGAATAACTGGTTATTGTTTCCCCTCTGACCCCAGAGTCCTACACATTGAAGTCACTGGTGAATTGGCTCTTAGGCTGCGCCCGGCTTGGCCAGGCTGTGGGGGGCGGCCAGAAGTGCAGTGTGCAGGTCTAACCTAGCCTGTGGGTGCGTTTGAGGAAAGCTTCTCTTCAACGCCAGCATTTTCCCTGCAAAAGTGGAAATGCCAACTCAGCCTTGCCAAATATTCAGCTTTGCAGAAACAAGCCAAAAGCAATGAGTTCTCTGTGAAATCTCCCATTATTTTTAAACATTGACAAGTTTAAAAAATGTTAGAAACTATATGGTCGAACAAAATGTGTCTGTGGCTGAGATGTCTTTCTCAGACCCCCACTTGTTGGATTCTCTAGTTCCCGATTATCTTTGTTCACCATTTGCAGTAGCAGCTGGTAGAAAGGCGTCTGATGCGACTTCTGCTGAAATTACTGAAGATGGCAGTGGTCCCCTTTTGAGGGAGAGCCCCCTAATTTACTCATTAACCAAACAGTCCAGGGTAATTCTGTCATACCAGGTCCTAGTTCCTTTCCTCTTCTTCCTCTTAGCTCAGCAATGAGATAACATTCTGCCCTAGTGCTGGGAAATTCTGAACAACCTTGAACTTCGACTAACCTACTCTCTCACTGAGGAAGGCAGTTGTCCACGCCACTCAGTGAGTAGTAGAAAGAGCTCAGCAGAAACTTACCTCATGTTGCTAACTCCTTTGAAGACCCTCAGAGGAACACGTGCTGCAAATTTGGGTGGAATTTGGGTCAAGTTTCAAAAGAGGACAACCAAATTCAGGAGAAAAATTAGAATTTTTAAGGAATTTTGTTTTTGGGGAGGGGTGTGTGTGTGTGTGTGTGTGTGTGTGTGTGTGTGTGTTTAGGAAAAAATTAGGCCCCTGGCTAAAAAAGACATCTTTATTTTTTGGTAAAGTAATATGCTTTATCTTCGTGACGTTGGAGATGCACTACAAATTTGGTAGACCCGTATCATCATCTCCCCTCTTCCCGCTCCCCCAGGAGACAAGACACGCATCTTATTGTTGAGAAAACTGAAATTATGCACACCTACCATTTGATGGCTTTGAGATGTTAGCAAAGAACAAGGCCCCGAGCCTCAGTTTTCTAACTTCAGTAAGAACTTCCTATCAGCACTGAATGGAGAATGAATAAGATAATATATTCAACAACGCAGCAAGGCAGCAGAGAAAGCACTCAGCAACTGGCTATTGTTAAGGGTGTCATTTAATAAGTGGGCACTATGTTCTGCCCAAGGGTCCCCCAGATCTGTTCTATGACTCTTACATCTCTTGCTGCAGTCACTTTGGCTTAATACAAAACTACAAATTAGTCCTAATATATTTCGTCATGTAAAGACTCCACATAACAGAGATTTTATAGAAAAATGGTAATTCTTATTACTGTATCATATGCAGTCTGTTGAATGCTGATCTCTTTCAAGGTGCTTATTGTATTGCAATCTTCTATTTATTCAGTTGTTCATACAACTTTGTTGATATTTTTATCTTAAAGATATCTGTTGGAGAAACTGACAGGAGACTCCCACAAAGAAAGTACTAACCAGGCTAAATGCTTAAGACAATCTCTGGAGCCCCCCAGTGGGGAGGAGAAAGAAGTGGCCAATAAACCAGCAAGCAGGTCTTGTATACATAGACATACAAAATTTAAAATACAAATATTATTAGCACCCCAATCCAATCATGCCCATTTTTGGCTTGCAACTTTCTAGTAGGTTCCATTGCAACTAGAGTAAAGTGTTATCTTGCACTCCAGCAGACAGGCCTTACCAAAGGTTCATTTCCTGTCATTTTTTTCCACTTCATCTAAAGTCCATGCCAGTCATACTGGTCTTGTGCAGTTTGCAGATCATGTTGAACTCATCCCTTGAGCTTGAATGAATTTTCTTTATGTCTGACTGTGGTTCTGGACTCCTTAGCATTTAGCAGTCAACATATATTTCTCTAACTTAAAGAGAACTTCCCTCACTTTCTTGAAGTTATTTCCCCATCTCCTTCATTTTCCACTATACACTTCTGTTTCTTCCATCTTATAACTTCTTTGTCATGTTTCCCTCCAGAATGCAGGCTCCTTGAAGGCAGGGATGACAGCTGTCTTTTTCAACATTATATATATCCAATGCTGAACCTGAGAGACTGGTATATAGAGATTGTTTAAGTAAATAAATATGTCTTTCCTATATTTCTAGTCCAGGAAAAAAATACATAAAAGACAATTATACCTCAAAGAGTAACCATTCCCAGGACATAAATAAACCTTTATTTGACTATGTCTAAAGTATACAGAGACAAGTAAGAAATAATCCGTGTATGTGTGGATTTTGTGGTTTGGGTGGGAGAAGTAACCACAGGCTTGATTGACAGATATACAAATGGACCGCCCGCCCCCCCCAACAGACCACTGGCCTGAAGGAAACAGATGCTTTGGTAATATGTGGTCCGTGTTTGGGGGGATGAATTGAGGGTCACTAGACAGAGCCAGGCATTCCAGGGTAGAAGAATGCAGGTCCAAAAAGCATTATATTTGGAGCAAATTCTTTAAAAATGTAACATGACTGGAGTATCAGCAATACAGTGGGAGTAGGAAAGATGGGAAAAGATCTGAAAAACCAGACATTATATGAAACAGCCTGAAGTTGAAAACAAGCAAGGGGAAGGCTTAGGCATGACAAGTAGAAAAATGGATTTCATTTGAGTTGAGTTTTTTTTTTTAATTCCAATTAAGGATACTTTTTTTTTAAAAAAAAAGATTTATTTATTTATTTATACAAGCACTGGGTATAGTCAGAAGCGCGGGAGGGTGAGAGAATTCACCAGAGCCAGAGCAGGGAGCAGAACAGGCAGACTGATGAAGTACACTGCTGAGGGGAGCAGTGGGCACAGCAGGAGAGAGGTCTGTGAGCCATGTGGGACCCTTGTCAGTTGGCTGGGGATCAAACTGTTGCTACAGAGGCTGCAGGCAGCTTTGCAGCCCAGTGCTCAACCGCTGTGCCACCGGGGAGGCCCCATGAGTTGAGTTTTATATTAAGATTGTTCCAGTCTCTGTATGTTTTCTTTTGGTCTGATATGCAAATGATTCCCAGTTACTAAAAAGATGAGTTCCCATATAAAAATAACAAAATTCTCCTTAGTTATAAAACAAATAATTAGAGCCTCACACAATGTCTTACAATAAGTTCCCACATATTTGTTGACTTCAATTTAGTGTTAATTTTTCCTGGGTTTGTCCACTTCTTCCAGAGCAATAAATTCTAGAAACACCACACCATAACCCCTTCAAGTTTTCTCTGAGATAGTATCATTGCAAAGACCTGCAATTTTGTCTTTCAACCCCATTGAAAGATTGATGTCTACATTTTCTAAACTGCTTTTACAAAGTTTGAAACTACAAGTTCACAACTTCTTTAGTCACCCATTTCTGCAGTGCTTATCATTTGTCTGTGGCAGAGATGGTGTCATGCCAAGCCAGGCGTGAAAGACTCAAAGAAGGATAAATAACTCAATCTTTTCTCTTGAGGAACAGGTATCCTATGGTGGACACAGCAACTCTCAGGCTGCTTTTACCACTCAGGCTGAGTGTCACATGGTTTAATGGAGAGTGTGGAAGCAATAGAGATAATAGGGTATAATAGAATATTTCCAGCATCTAAATAAAAGTTGGATATGATTACTGGCAAATAATTAACTAAAAAAGAGAAAGAGGAAAAATGTGTATAAGTTAATGCACTGAAGAAATGAAGTCACGCTGCCTACTGTCTGTCTCCCTCCACCCGCTCATTTATTCCACAAGATTCACTGAGTTGTGAATAATTCAGTTGTTCTCTAGAAAATGCACAGTAGAGTTTTGTTGTTGAGAAAAATTACTGTTAATCTCAGACCAAGCTGGGTTCAGGTCTTGATTCCCCCTCCCATGGCTTCATGCCTTTGTGCCAGTTACTTAGACCCTGAGAGTTTTTGTTTCTTCGCCTGTACAATACGGATGTTAGGAGCAATGCCTACTTCCAAGGAGTCTGATAATGATTAAGTGAGATAAGACAAGAAAGTACTTGGATATCTAAAAATTGC